AGCGCGCAACTACAGCGTCGTACAGTGTCTTAGCAGTTCTGTGCTGGCTGAAGTGCGCTCGCTCAGTAATCGGCAGGTGGTTCCTAATAGCTAGGCGTGCAGCAGCATCACGAGTCTGCCATTGGGAGCGTTCTAGAGCAGGAGCATCAGCAGCAGGAGTAACGGCAGTGCCAGAGACGTAATCAAACAGGGAAACGCCCTCTTTGGCATCAGTCAGAAGGAACAGCTGGAGATCGTCTAACCACACAGCGAACTCGATGGGACGACCGTCAGGCTCGAACGCTAGAACGTTAGGCGTCGCCATATTGGCTTAAGGCAGGAGGCAGCAGGCAGCAGGCAGCAGGCAGAGGCAGCAGGCAGCAGACAAGAGGCACTAGGCACCAGGTAGGAGGCAGGCAGCAGAGGCAGGAGGCAGGAGGCAGGAGGCAGCAGGCAGGCGGCAGGCAGGCGGCAGGCAGGCGGCAGCAGGCAGCAAGCAGGCAGGCAGGCAGCAGGCAGGCGGCAGCAGGCAGCAAGCAGGCAGGCAGGCAGCAGGCAGGCAGCAGGCAGGCGGCAGCAGGCAGCAAGCAGCAGTCAGACGGCAGCAGGCAGCAGGCAGGTAGGCAGGCAGCAGGCAGGCAGCAGGCAGGCGGCAGCAGGTAGCAAGCAGCAGGCAGGCAGGCAGCAGGCAGGCAGCAGGCAGGCGGCAGCAGGCAGCAAGCAGCAGGCAGGCGGCAGCAGGCAGCAGGCAGGCAGCACGTGGCTACGGGCAGCGCGCGCGGCCGCAAGCTCCGTGCGGCGACGGGCTGCGCGGGCTGCGGGCTGCTTGCAGCTGCGGGCTGCGCGTGGCGACAGGCAGCGTGCGCGGCTGCAAGCTGTGCGCGGCTGCGGGCTGCGCTGGGCGACGGGCCGCACGTGGGCGGCTGCGGGCTGGTCGCTAAGCTGCGGGCTGCGCTGGGCGACGGGCCGCGCTGGCGTGGCCTAACCAGGTTGCGCGCGGGCGGCTTAAGGGGCGCACAGGCGGGGCCGAAACGGGCTGCGCGGGCTGCTGAAGCGGCGCACGTGGGAAAAAAAAAAGGACCGCCTGAGGCGCGCGCGGGCAGCCAAGGCGCGCGCGGGCACTAGACAAGGCAGGCAGGTACGGTGGGCCCTAATCCTAGGTCCTAAGGACCTATGCTCTAGATGCCATGTTAGAATCCTAGGCAAAGTTGGTATTGAATGTCGAGAGTGTTGGTACAAAAATGAAACCTAAGGGGTTGTACCCCACAGTGAGTACCCCACTAAAGCCTATCTAAACTACAACATATAAACATATGTTTGACAACTGCCACTTCTTGCACCGGTGGCAGCGAGCGTGGCAGCAGAGGACGGTTCTATCCGGTCTTGCATGGTGAGAAGCGGTTGGGAGATCAGCACCATAACGACAAAGAGTGCAGCAGTGCAGAGAGCACCGATGACTGCCTTGTCAGCCAGACTGCACGATTCCAACCCACTTCCGGAGCCTCCAGGAGGGTTTGGAAAGGTCATCGGCTTCAGAGACTCTATTTCGGAGCATGACTCGATATGGAGGGACTCTAAACGAGTCAGCTTGTACAGTGAGGGAGGAAGCTCCTTTAGTTGATAACAGTTGGTCAGGCTCAGCTTTTCCAGGCACGCTGGCAGGCTGCTTTCACACAATCTCTCGGGCAGATGCTGCAGCGTGGGCAGGACCAGCTCGAGCATTTTCAACCGGGGTAAATCACCCAGGCTTTCAGGCAGAGCCCGGATATTATCCAGGTAGAGGAGCTTTACGGTTTGCAGATGGGACAAGGCGCCGATGTGGTGTGGGAGTGAGGTTAGGGAGGAGCAGGAGGAGATGGAGAGGGAGGAGAGAGGGAGGAAGCAGATGCTCTCTGGGAGAATCCCGAGGGAATCGCAGGCGTGGAGGGAGAGAGACTGTAGCTGAGTCAGCCCCGCCATAACATTTTCGGGCAGGCTTTGTAAATTCTCTGATTGGATGGAAAGGGTTTTCAGCCCAGTCAGCAGTTGGAATGATTCCGGAATGCACTCGAGCCCGTCCAGTTCAATTTCTAGGGTTTCCAGCCGAGCTAAGTCGGCGATCGCGTCGGGAAGCTCTGTGACGGTTCTAGAGAACACACTACTGATACTCAGCTTGCGGAGGTTCTTCAGGAGACCCACACTCTCTCCCAGTCCCTGAAAACTCGCTCCCGCACTGACCCGCAATTCCCGCAGCTGCTGCAGCGCGCCGATGCTCTCGGGCGGCGAAACGAGCTCCTGTAACGAGTCTTCGCCATAATGAGTATGTGCGCACACGTGGAGGGTTTGGAGATCTGTAAGGAGCGAGATGGACGACGGGAGATGCGGGAGGCCAGTGGTGGTGAGCAGCCGGAGTTCCCTGAGCTTGCGGCATCCATGGAAGAGCGACGCGAGGCCGTCTACTGTAACTGCCATGCGAAACTGATGCTCCACCGTTAGATGGCTCAGGCTCGGACACGTGGCGGCCAGACATTGGAATATCGCGTCGCCGTCGGCGGATTGTTGGAGATTACGTGTGTTGGAAGCAAGGTGGTGGTGGGGCGTTTGTATGCCCCCAACCCACCGAATGTGTGACTTGTGCTCACCTTCGAGTGAGTTGCAGGTTTGCGTGGGGTTGAGGATTGACTTCGGAAGACCCATTCGATTCGGTGCCACATGGCAGCACCAGGAACATTCGAGACCCAAGGAGAATTCGGATCGGTGAAATTCGAGAGTCGAATTTCACCCTTTCGATGTTACTCGAACATTCGCGAGTGTAGCGGTTCGAGGTTACTTGTGCGATTCGATCTTGTTTGCATGCTATAAATCTGTTTTCTTTGTATTGCATACCATCATAGTGAAACTCAGAGTTCTTTGTACAAGGTACATTCGAACACAAATTCCAGAGAGCTTCTTTACTTGCATTCAAGAGCACCACCTAGCACGTGAACGCCTATATCTCGGAGAATACTTAGGCGATCGACGTGTTTGACGGCTCGTTGGAAAGCTAAGACAGAGCTATATCGTTTAGAACAACTCCCAGTTCCTGCAAATTAGAGGAGAGTCCTCTACAACACGGATAAGATGGAGAACTCGCCCAGCGACACGTGCGTGAGGGTGGGGAAGCGGCGCAGCGCGGAAAGGAGGCGTGGGAGCGGGAGCCACGCAAGCTGCGCATTGCGGAAGTGCTCGGAACTATGTATCTCGATGATAAAATAATTTGGTCTAAATCCGCGATGCTGAATGGTCAAATGGGAGAGCACGGACGTGGCGAGGCGGTACCAGCGCTTGGAAACGAGCGCGTGGCGGAAGGAGGTCTGCGCGAGCGCGTGGAGGACGAGCGCGAGAACATCGTCGGGGAGGCGCTCCACGGGGAAGGGTGGCTCGGCGCGCGCGGGTGAAACCATAGCTTTGAGGCGGCTAAGGAAAGGAGCTAGCACTATCGTTGGATGTGCGAGCAGCTATGTTGCTCTGAGTAGTCTGGTCTGGAATATAGCGCTTTGTCGCATAAGGATTCACTAGCAGTTCGAATAATGAAGGGGAATGACGGACGAGCAACGGGGATCGTGTTGGGGATGGGGGGAGTTAGAACTTTTGCGATGGAAAATCTGGGCTTGGTTAGGGCTTGGTGCGCAGTGCCACCAACTTGGTGAAGCTGGTGAAAGATGACAAATTCTCTTGGGGACACCAAAGGACGGGGTTGTCTAGTCAAATTTAGTCTTTGTGTTTCGCGATTTCGATCCTCCCATGCTTTTTGTCAAATTTGTTTGTAAGGGCGTGTAACCATTTTCCATTTTGTGTTTTTGCGGACAGTCCGTTTTTTTTTCATTCGGACGGTCCTAAGGACCGTCCAAATCGACGGTTCGTCACTTTGTATTGTCCGAAGTGGATAGCGACACTTTTTCGAGTCTCTGCAAATTCGCGATCACTGTAGCATCGCTTACGTAACAGAAGTAACGTGTCTCGTTATTTTCTCGTAAGCCTCTTCGCGTGATGTTTGAACATTTGACGACGCGACTTGAAATTTGTAACGTTTTATTTTTTCGTCCGCCCATTGTGCAAGGACATTCGGACGGTCCGAATGTGTTTCGGACTGTCCGCTTCTGACATTTCGAACCGTTGAAGTTGGGAAAAAGTGTTACTACCGTCCGAGTTTTTAGCGACGTCCCAAAGGTACAAACGAACCGTCTAACGACAAAATGCGACTCTGGTAGCTCTTCGTTCCCGGACGGTCCACAATTCGAACCGTCCAGCCCAAAAAGTGGAAAAATGGTTACACGCCCTAAAAGCAGAACACGGGATTGCGATGCGACTTTGAGTTGCGCGAAAAACGAATAAGCGGAGCTGTGCACTTCTGTGGCCACATTCGGTTTCAGAATACGATAGAAGTGCACTCCGTTAAACGAACAACAGAAGCTGAGTCTATATCGAAACTGAATGTGGCCTGCAAGACGTGCCTTCTAGATACTGACAAGCTTCATTGACTGCAACTTGTCTCTGCGGTGCTTCATCAGCCAACTTTTCGTGAGAACTTGTGGTGTTCGTATCTCGTCGCACTACAGTGATCCTGGACTAGATTACAGTTTAGACCAGTGATCCTGGACAGGAGGAAGGACTCAACCTCAAGGGTATCGCTCGCGATTCGCATGACGATTTCCTGTTTGATGCGAAATAATGAACCATAATGGTAGATCCCAGTTCCAAGAAACGCCTTCTCCGAGAAGGAAAAACCTGATCCTGACAATTTCCAACCCATGTCACATTCAGAAAGATTCTTCTCAAAATTTCCATTCCACCTCCACCACACCTTCCTCGACTTTCCAAAGCTTCAATTCACCCCTTCCGAGGCCAGGAATGCCTTCATTCAAGCTTCCCGAGTCACACATGAGAAGTATATGCTGTAGCCTCAGCAGATCTATCCACGCTTGGCCCCCCGTTCGCCGTTTTCCTGATTCTAGGCATCCATACGATGGCGTCACTAGTCCCTTTCCAGCCGCTTGACCGCCATGGTTTCACCCACCGCGGTGCGCGCCGATCCACCCTTCCCCGTGGAGCGCCTTCCCGACGGCGTTCTCGCGCTCGTCCTCCGCTCGCTCGCGCCGACCTCCTTCCGCCACGCGCTCGTTTCTAAGCGCTGGTACCGCCTCGCCACGTCCGCGCTCTCCCACTTGACCATTCAGCATCGATGCAGAGAAATAGGCAATTCTGATCACCCAGCGCAGCTTGCGTGGCTCCCGCTCCCGCGCCTTCTTTCCACGCTCCGACGCTTCCCCACCCTCACGCACGTGTCGCTGGGCGAGTTCTCCATCGTATGCGCCGACGGCGACGCGCTCTTCCAATGCCTGGCCGCCACGTGTCCGTTCCTGAGCCATCTAACGGTGGAGCATCAGTATCGCATGGCGGTTACAGTAGACGGCCTCGCGTCGCTCTTCCACGGGTGCCGCAAGCTCAGGGAACTCCGCCTGCTCACCACCGACGGCCTCCCGCATCTCCCACCGTCCATCTCGCTCCTCACAGATCTCCAAACCCTCCACGTGTGCGCTCATCCTCTCTATGGCGATGACTCGTTACAGGAGCTCGTTTCGCCGCCCGAGAGCATCGGCGCGCTGCAGCAGCTGCGGGAGTTGCGGATCCACGCGGGAGCGAGTTTCCAGGGACTGGGAGAGTGCGTGGGTCTCCTGAGGAACCTCCGCAACCTGAGTATCAGTACTCACTCCTCGAGAACCGTCACGAAGCTTCCCGACGCGATTGGCGGCGACTTGGATCGGCTGGAAACCCTGGAAATCGAGCTGGACGGGCTCGAGTGCCTTCCGGAATCCCTCCAACTGCTGACCGGGCTGAAAACCCTCTCTCTCCAATCCAAACGTCTGCAGCGCCTGCCCGGAAATGTTATGGCGGGGCTGACGCAGCTGCAGTCTCTTTCCCTCCACGCCTGCAATGCCCTCGGGATTCTCCCAGAGAGCATCTGCTTCCTCCCTCTCTCCTCCCTCTCCATCTCCTCCTGTTCCTCGCTCATCTCACTCCCACACCACATCGGCACCTTGTCCCATCTGCAAACCCTAAAGCTCCTCTCCCTTGAGAATATCCGGGTTCTGCCCGAAAGCCTGGGTGATTTCCCCCAGTTAAAATCGCTCGAGCTGGACCTGCCCGCGCTGGAGCATCTGCCTGAGAGATTGTGTGAAGGCAGCCTTTCTTCGTGCCTGGAAAATCTGAGCCTGACGAACTGCAACCAACTGATGGAGCTTCCTCCCTCACTATACATGCTGACTCGTTTAGAGTCCCTCCATATCGAGTCATGCTCCAATATAGAGTCCTTGAAGCCGCTGACCCCTCCGGGCCTCCCTGAACGGTCCGGAAGTGCATTGGAATTGTTCAGCCTGGCTGAAAAAGTGATCATTGGTGCACTCCTTTCCGTGATGGAAGTGATCTCCCTGCCACTGCTCACGCTGCGAGAGCTGCTAGAACAGTCCTCTGCTGCCACGCACGCTTCCGCTGGCGCTGAAAGTGGCAGTCCTCTCGCCGCCGCTGTGTCGCTGCTTCTTGTTGTGGCGCTGCTGCTGATCTCTCTGGTGCCCAGTGCGTGGCTCTATCCTGCCATGCTGCTTGCTGCTGCGCTGCTGGTGATCCTGTTCCTACAACCCGTTGCTTCTACCTCTGCCTCTGCCTCTGGCCCTGCTTCTTCTCCTGCCACTGCGTCTGCTCCTGCCCCTACCCCTGCCCCTGCCCCTGCCCCTGCCCCTGCCCCTGCCCCTGCCCCTGCCCCTGCCCCTGCCCCTGCCCCTGCCCCTGCCCCTGCCCCTGCCCCTGCCCCTGCCACGCATAGCGTACCTATCCGTGCTTTTGATCCTGCTGCAAATAGCACGGAACAACACCCGGGCTTATTTTCCCTCACCGAATTAAAGGTTTCAGGCTGCCCGCTTATCGCCTCCCTCCCAAAAAACTTCTCCTTCCCTGCCCTGCACACGCTCAACCTGCATTCTTTGGGCATTCCAAAAGATCTCCTGGACTTATCCAGCAAGCAGCTGCCGCAACTGCAGCGGCTGGAGTTGGAGAGGGTGGGTGGTGCGGCTGACCCATGGCTGGTGGACTGCCTTCCCGGTGTGCGGTCGGGGAGAATGCGGCTTCTGCTGCATGTCAGAGCTCTGTTTGTGCTTCTGCACGTGGTGGATTCACTTCTGCAGCTGGCTGTGTTGCTGATGAGGGCGGGTTGTTCAGGGCTGCACGGTGCGTACGCTTGGTCGGCTGGTCTTGCATGCCGATTGTGCAGGCTGGCGTTGAGGTGGTGTGAAAAGGAGGCGGAAGAAAGGAACCCACTTGTTGTGAGTCGTGACTTGAGATAGTGCACAGATGGTGTAAGAGGTGGTAGATAAAAACCCTTCTGCCATAGTCCCCCTTGTGATTGATCATGATAAATGGGTTGGCCTATGCTAGCAAATGTCGGAAACAAGCAATTTAACGCTCCTGTTGTGTCGAAACAATAGACTACAAACAAGGCGAATCACAGCGGAGCAACGGCGAGTCAACTGAGGAGGTTGACGGAAAGTAACAACTGGAGGTTACACGAAGGTCAAAGGTCAGCGACCTTTGACTCGACGAAACACAGCGAGACAGCAAGGACAAACAACTGACTCGGTATTGAGCAGTTGTCCGAGTCGTCACTGTATTGAACCGCAACAGCAAAACAGTTAGTTGCACCTCTTCGTATTCCTTGTAATCTTATAAAAGCCTTTGTATTACCTTGCTATAATCAATCTCTTGCTCTCACATACTAGTGCAAGTTGGTTCAACAAATTGTGAAAGTCTACTTAGGCTGACTTGCAAAGGCAGCGTTATCATTTCATATGGGTTGTAGTACATCGTTCTCGTCATATATATGTCTACATAACAGCATACACAAATGGGTGGGCGGGTGGGAAATTAGTACAATTTCGGAAATGAAAACGTGGGTGGGGACGAATGTCCCCACGTCCCTCTTTTGTAGGCAAAAGAGGGTGAGTAGCGCTTCGGCGCTACCTTTGTTGTGTTGGCCACGTACCCCTTTTCACAATACAAAATTTTAGAAAGTGTTACATTTCATTACACTTTCAAAAATTATCATATTCTGAAAGTCTACTTAGGCTGACTTGCAAAGGCAGCGTTATCATTTCATATGGGTCTTCTGAGGCAAGTGCAGTCGGGGCTGGCGGTGCCGTTCGATTTGATGGCTGATGCGTGGCGGGTGAGGGAGCCGTCGAAGGATCCTGCAACTGCATGGACAGGGAGATGAGCTGATCCTACGCGATTGTAACGTACATCTCTTTCGCGCTGTCGCAGCGCCATCGGCCCATGCGTTTGAAGAGCCGGTCGGGAACTCCGAGGCTTGCCGCCGCGGTGGCTGCACCTTTGCGAAATGAGTGGGTTCCGATGTGCGCGACATCCAGTCCAGCCTGCCTGCCGGCCGCGAGACACCAGTTTCTGATCGTGACGTAGGATGGCGAGTTGTCGTTCGGTGTGGCTTGCGAGTTCTTTGGGAAAACCCTTATCAGCAGTCCATGTGGCATCTTTGTGAGGCCTGCGATGCGTATGAATTTGCGTGTGCACCTCACCGGGCAGTATGGGCCTGGAATTGCCGCCACTGGGATCCAGACACCCCTCCCTTCCTGGTCCGTCTTGGAGTGCGGGATGAGCAGCTACATTGCCTTCTCCTCGAACTGTACATCACTCCATTGGAGCGATACGAGGTCAGAGTAGCGCAAGAATGCCGAAAACATGAGAAGAGGAATAAATCCTTTCTGGTATTCCGCCGGAATTGATGATTCAAGGAAGGGACGGGCCATGTTGTGCACTTGATGGAGAGATATGGGTTCTTTGGTCCTTGCAAGTCGGGGACCATGTCTCTTGGCGAACTCCCGCACTTGCAGGGTGAATGGACCGACGGTAGGGGAGGTTTCGCCTGTCATGCGGTGGGCAAAGGCTACTGCCGAACATGTAAGGTTGATCGCAGAGAGAGTTGCTTCGTTGTTGAGCGCATGGATGAGATACAGTGCTAGCGTCAGGTCGGTTGCCGGTAGGAACTCGAGCTTGATTTCGGTACAGAAGGTACGAAATCTCTGCCAATAAGGTTGGTACGTCTCGATTGTAGATGGTGCGCGAACGTGGCTAATTACGTGCATCAATTGTTGCTGTAGTTTAGCCAAAAGTCCTGAAATGACACATTGATAAATTTTTATTAGACTGCATAGTTTACACGCAAAGCAATGATTGGGCTATGAGGCAATCCGAGACCAGAAAATGCAGTGGTGTGTGAACCTGCCCGAAGGCATTGACTGCCTTGGGCAAGGGAAAGGTGCTCTACTACTGCCGGAGCCCACGATTGAGTGGACGGTTGGAGGAGCGGCCACCATGACGCCCCGGTCCACTGGGGAACTACCAGCGTGATTTCTGTCTGTGTAAGCTCTGCATGGCAGAGCGTAGCGGGGATTAAGTGTGGAGGCGGGAAGGCAAAGCATCGCTCGCCTTTCCACGAGATGGAGAATGCGTCGACAGCGAACGCGTCGGGGTGCGGTATCTTGGAGCAGAAGCGTTGGACGTGATTGTTCCGAACGTTAGCAAAGAGGTCAATTGTGTGGGGCCCCCATCGGCGTTCCAAGAGGCGAAACCAAGGTGCATGTAGGGAGTAGTCGTCATAATCTTGCATCTTGGATAGGTCATCCGCATGGACGTTGAGCTCTCTCGGAATCCATTCGATCGCGAGGCGTGTTGTGTTGCCGAGGCAGAACTGGATGATTGCTTGGCATGTCAACGTAAGATCCGCCTGACGCGATCCCCCCTTGCGCAAGATGAACATGACTGCGTGGTTGTCCACCCGAACGAGGACGTGAGCACCCACGATCCGGGTTGCGAACGTCCGCAGTGCCCAGAGCACTCCCTCAAGCTCTCGCCGCGTACTGGATGTGGTGAGAAGCCCTCGTGGCATGCACTCGCTTGCTTCGCATGATGTACTTGGGAACTTGGCCAAGGTGGCACCCCAGATGTGTGCGCTTGCGTCGACGTGGATCATGGCATCAAAACGTTGACTCTGGTGGAATGGGGCGCCATTGAAACGATCGAAGTGCATTGTCCAAAACAACAGCTCCTCTGTCGCTCCTGGTGACAATACAACCTTCGAGTTCCATGACCACGTGGAGTCGATCAAGTGCAGCAGCTCATGGCTGAAGGCACGCGCCGTCGTGCCTAGCGCGAGCGACATGGAGCTGAGAAATCCAGTGATCCGCGCTATCTTGCGAATCGGCACTTGTCGACCTGATTGCCCTTTTTTTATGAGTAGGTGGAGCTCCTGCAGTAGTTGCTTGCGCCGATCTTTTCCGACGAGGAACATTCCTCGTTCCGTGTCAAGCTCCATCCCCAAAACGCGCAAGTGGTGTGCGGGATGCAGGTTTGATTTCTTAGAATTTATCACGAATCCTGCCGCCTTCAGGTCGTGGAGAACTTCGATGCACGTCGAACGGGCTTGCGCCTCGGAGTTGCAGAGGAATAGTAGATCGTCCACGTATGGTATTACGCGCACTCCGCGCGCGCCATCTCTTAGCTAGTTGCTTAATGAGCTGGGTGAAGATGAACGGGGCTGTTGCCAGGCCGAAAGGTAAGGATGTGAAGCAATAGAACTTTCCACCCAATTGAAAGCCTAAAAACTTCCATCACGATGGGTGGATTTCGACGTGGTGGTAGCCTGACTTGAGATCGATTGTGAACATCCAGTCGTTTGGGCGAATGATCTCCGCGACCCGACTCAAGCCCTCGTACTTGAACTTGGGAACATGGAGGTGAGTGTTGACCTTCCGTAGGTCAAGGATGAGCCGACATTTGTCACGTTGCTCCACAACGTTGAGCGGGCTGATGCACGTAAGTGCGGCTTTCGACGAGACATTTACCGCGGTGCCTGACGCGATGAGGTCGCTGACAGCATCTTGGGTAAATTCCATGTGTGCTTGAACCCCTGCGTGATTGGGAGCTTCGAAGGGGAGAGGCTCCGCGCCCTTCCATGGTAGCCAGTACCCTTTGGCAATGATGGAAAGGATCAGACTGCTGTCGCACCATGATAGCCACCAGTGGAGGCTGTTGCGCAATCGCATTCGCATGATGGACACCATGTTGTCTGTTATTGCGTGCTCGTATGGGTCCCAGTGAGCGTTCTGCCACTCGCCTTCCACTTCTGCAACTGGTGGTCAACCGAGGTTGCGGGGGGGGGGGGGGGGGGGGGGGGGGGAACGAGGACCAAGGTCGATTAGACGCGAGATTTATCGAGACGCTTTGCGGGGCAAACTATGTCGCTCGCCTGTCACCGCCTTCGCGCCTCCCCGCACCCTTGGCTTTTTTTTTTTTTTTTTTTTTTTTTTTTTTGAACACTTCCCTTGACCACTCGTCAGCCATGACGCCCTTGCAGGGGTTTTTTGCGTGTGTGTTTTTTTTTTTTTTTGGAGGTTGCCTTACAACGAGATCAGCGCATGTGCGTCACTTGGTCCCACAACCTTGTTCATCACGATGTCTTCGTGGCCTCTCTCTCTCTCTCTCTCTCTCTCTCTCTCTCTCTCTCTCTCTCTCTCTCTCTCTCTCTCTCTCACTCTTACTCTCACTCGCTCTCTCTTTCTCCTTCTCTCTCTATCTCTCTCTCTCTCTCTCTCTCTCTCTCTCTCTCTCTCTCTCTCTCTCTCCCCCTTTCTTCCTCTCTGTCTCCCTCTCTCTCTCTCCCTCTCTCTTTCTCCCTCTTTCTCTCTCTTCTCTTTCTCCCTCTCCTCGCTCTTTGTCTCTCTCTCTCCCTTGCTTGCTCTTTCCCTCCCTCTCTCTCTCTCCCTCTCTCTCTCTCTCTCTCTCTCTCTCTCTCTCTCTCTCTCCCCCTTTCTTCCTCTCTGTCTCCCTCTCTCTCTCTCCCTCTCTCTTTCTCCCTCTTTCTCTCTCTTCTCTTTCTCTCCTCTCCCTCATTCCGTGTGTGTGTGTGTGATTTTTTTTTTTTCTTCTTTCTTCTCTCGGTCCTTGCCTCTTAATTCACCCTTGGCCAATTCTTCCTCCATGGCTGCCTTCCTCAAGAGGGGGCTGGCTTTTGACTTTCCGTGCCATCCGTCCTCCCTCCTCTTGTTGTCTCTCTTTCTCTCTCCTTTTTTTTTTTTTTTTTTTTTTGATAGCAATATTCTTTTATTAATCCACACAAAGGCATACAAGCCTAGGCCTACACCATAACCAGCCCCTACGGCTGCCATTTTGTCCTGGCCCTCATGGCCTATGTGTCAGAATGTTATATTTGTCTAGCCTGCAGTGGGGTGTCAGAGGTCCACTGGTGATCCCCGATTGATCCTAGGGAAGGGTT